TAGACACCAATTTTATTCAACGGCCTGTTCAAACAAGGTGAAGAGGAAGATCAAATACGAAGATAATAGTGATTAAAGACTGTAGTTTCAGAAAGATTATTGTGATTTTTAAAATAATCTATAACTGTCTTTGGTGTAGAAGAATTTATAGATCTGTCAAATCTCGTGTGATGTGACTCTTACAGTAATCTATTATAGTTATTTCATACTATAGGTTTTCTGGCCGAATTCGTCATCTTCCCAGTCAAATTCATTATGTTCATTCGTTTTCAAATGACTTTTCATGCAGGTCGCTCCAATGTTTCTTTTTGATACGGTAGAGCCTTCAAATTCATTTACAAGTGTCGAATAGTGCACTGTAACAAATTCAATTTAGAACTAATTTCATTCTATTGAACAGTGCATAACCGTCATTCGATTTCTCGCCGGATGACTGGAATGAGAAATTCCTCCAGAATTTTACTCTCGTTTTCGTCTATGGGCAATCATGTTTAGATCGTTAAGATGCAGTTTACCGAACAGATTTGTAATTTTCTTTATTTTGTACCCAAGAACACACTCTCTCTCCGTAAATCTGCATGTATACTAAGATTTTTTGGATTCTCTTTAACAATGGCTTATTTTCTTTTTTGTCACATTTTTGAAGTAAATTCCTCACCCTGTTTAGACATCTCCCCACTTTGTCCATTCGTGTGATGTAAATAATTTTACTTCGCTGTTATTCATTCGTTTCATAACAATTCCAACAAACAAAATACGAATGAACACATTAGCCAATAAACGTTGACCAATCGTTATTTTTATAGAGATCTCTACCCTTGAACCACACGTTTCCTTTTATAAAACATTTTGCATAAAGTAGTCACAAAGAAAAAATGAATTCGAAGATTTGACGTTCAATGAATAACGTCACACGAATCTGACAAATGTTTGCCGATTCACGAAATCGAACGCCAAAACACACACCGTAGGAGTGTCTGCGCGAATTTGAGTACTTTTAGCATGTACAGTCGACTCCCGTTATTACGAGGGCCGGCGGACTTTCACAATTCTGTCGTTATTGCCGGAGTGAAATTTTTCACACTCATTTTGCTCAAGTTTATAGCCACATACATGTCTGTTGGAATCATGTACAGGTACACCGATACCGCACGCCGAACACATAAAAAACATGTTATGTGCCTCTTATTGATGCTGAATTTTTATCTAATGTTGATGAATAAAATGGTATAAATAAAGTACATTTTAAAGTAAAACATTTGACAACCTGGATCAGAAGAAGCCGAGAAGAATAGCCAAGTGAGAAGAAACATTCAAGTCCGTGCCGGTAAGTACGTCACACGTCCTGAGTGTACGTTTTGCTTTCGTCATGAATTGGCTAAAACCAGTCAAAAGAGGGCGCCACTATTACCAGTATGTCTGGGGCCGGGGGCGCAATGTTAATGATCGGAAGATGAAACAAGATTGCGTTGAAGTTCTTACAAAGGTGCATTGATAAGGCGCTGACAGACTTGGAAAACGTATGATGCCCGAATTGGGACAAAGGGTTTGTTGTTTACAGCTTCAGATAATACGGTTTGGGAAAAAAGTCGCTGTATATGGGTTTCAAATGTTTTTGTTTGTGTTACGAACCATGTGTTTCACTTTTTCACGTGTGCGCAGTAAAACTCTCGAACATTAAGGTTCACTTTGTATACGTTTGATTTCAATGTTACAAGCGATGTGTCTAAATGGTGTATTTGTGGTTCAACTTTCAAACGACATATTGTCAGTGCAACTTTCGCACGTACATGTATATTGGTTTAATGTTCGAACGTCACAGTTAAATTTTTAAAGGTCTGGGTTGGAGTGTGAAGTGAAGTTTGGTTCCAGCTCAGCTCTTGTGAGTTTAATGAAAAATGATGAGACGGTGTAAAAGCTGAACCTCAGTAGTACTAACCATCCGCCTTGAGGAGAAGCACCCCCTCATCGGTTGGAAAGAACCATGGTGGTGAATGTTAGCGACACGACCTCAACGCGTGCATACATGCATCTGTCATCAACGTGCATTAATTAAAGTGCAGTTCCCATCAAAAGAGCGTCCATTGCTAGGAAAATTGTGCCCTCGCTTGGTCCAACTGGGAACTCCGTACCAGCCTCGTTTGCCTGTTACCTCTATTATAAACTTAAAAGGGTGGGATTCCGAATACTCAGATGACATTGTTTTTAAAACCAACGAAAAATTTGGGAGCCTGAGAGAAATTTGGAAATACCACAGAGTCATAAAACATGCGGGTGTGCAACATTTTTAATCTTCGATTTCGGGAAAGTTTCGAACTAGCTAGCGGGTTTAAATAGCTCAATGCAAGTTAGCTTCAACAGAAAAATTGACACTGATACTGAAGTTCCACTTGATATTATTACTTTAAGATGAAGCCTCAAAGACTATCGATAATTACAACAGTAATCCGTAATGAATACATGTAATGGCCTGATCACGTGACAACGAACTGTTTCGATATTCTCATTGCATCATGGGGCTGGATGACTGAGAAACAAGCCATGTATTTTATGCGATAAAACCTGTGGAAAGCGAATCGGTCAAAAATAAATTTATTTTCTTCAGAAAAAATCTACTTATCAAGTAAAAGACGGATGAAAAGTACGCAAGATATTTTTCAAAATCCTGAAACATTCTTACGAAGACAAAAACACCCTTGAAAAGGGCACCAGTCACTATATGCTGAAAAATCACGTGATTGGTCAAAATAGGATGAATGAACGTCGAGTCATGATTCTGGTTGGCCAGTACTAGCTCACTGACGTTCACGACCTTAGTCCAACATAGTAACTGGTGTTTATGGAAGGGATCGTTCCAATTTTCCTTTTCTAGTAAGCTTAAACATTTAAAGTTTTCTTCCAAATCTTCAACGCCCCGTCAACTGTGCGACACGAGGTAGTATCGTTGATGGGAGTCATGGCTGTGCAGCTGAAAAAGTTGAGTCGAAATTTACGCAACATCCACCTTTTTTAATTCATTTAATTCATTTGAATTCTTATGTTGAACTCATTTTCTCTAAATTAAGAAATTTTTCATTAGAAAAGAAGTTTTTTTACAATGCTTCTGGCTGAAAATGGATTTGCCCCTTGCGTGGTTACTTTCCAGAAACCTACTTTTGGGTTCCCAAATAACGATCGGAGAATCCAACTTTCAGTGGCCAAAACAATGCTTCAGATTTCCCGACCGCCGGACTTAAATTTTTCGGCGAGACTAAAATTTTTGTTGGCAATTTAGAAAAAAAGTTTTCTTCGTGTTTCGTTGTCGCTGTGGTAAAAACACGTGAGCAAAGCGCTGGTTCCCGCCGCGCCGCACCCGTGGAAGAGAATGCGTGATGGAAGGTGGCAACCAGTCTATTCATGCCGCGGCGACCGTACCTGTACGTGATGAGAAATAACCACGACGCTAGTCCAACCATATGTATTAATTCACTATAATGGACAACACAGTCGGCATTAATTTAATGCCGTAGAGTTTTCTATAATAACTACATGTCGTTTGTGGAACTCCCCTGTCGACCATATTTTGAAGAGGCTTGTAACACACTCGAGCACGGACGGCAAAGTGGAAATGGGGCGGAGTGACTGTAATAGGCCCGACTACCAAATACTCCTATTACTCTGCGAAGACACGGCCCCGCCCGCTGTGCATGCAACGCTAGCGACTGGTAACAGCTTGTGGGCAGGCGGGGTGATCCATGCCGGCTGGGCCTGGCCGGTTATACTAACCGGGAGAGCTAAGACAGTGGTGGACAAGGCACACACTCGAAAAAAAAAGACTTGAGAAAATAGCTATTTTATAGACTTTTCTTGTCAGAAGACTAGGAGGTGTAGATTCCTAACCAGTAATACTTCCAGAAACCTTGCATACACTGTAGTTCGAGCAAAATTAAAATGCATCTCTTCAAGGTCTTTGAGATACGCATGAGTTAGTTGGTTAGTGCGATGTTCCTGTACCTCATTCTCTTTATTCTATCTACCGTGTAGGTGCCGAGTTTGAGAGGTGCCTTGTTGGCAAGGTATCAAGTTGGTTTTTGTATATGTGCCGAGTTGGTGGGTGCTGAGTTGACGAGGTGTCGAGTTGGCAAGGTGCCGAAGTGACCGGTTACCCATCTATCACTTTGTAAGTGCTGTTTTTGTTAGTCCTAATATTATTCTTCAATAATGCAGGACTGGATGGCAAGCAACTTCCACTTACCAAAAGCCACTACCTGTGAACTTCACGGAACTGACTGGGTGTGGCCAGAATTTCAGTCGTCTGTCACCCCTACAGATATTTTAACTCTTCTTCTGTGAAGCAGTTTGGCAATTGCTGGTGAGGGAGACCAGCCGATATGCAGATCAGACGCTATCTGCAGAATCCGCTGACTCTCAGTGTACTTGGATTCCAACGGATGTTCCTGAAATGATGGCCTTTGTCGCACTGCTGCTCTCGATGGGNCCTTTGAATCCGTCGACAATGTCTCAGCTCGCAACCGATTTATGGCACTCTCCACTCTGCACTCTCCACTGCCCTTAAAGCACAGGCACCCCTACAGAAACACTAGTATCCCTCACCAATCAGGACGGTTTCAACAACGTTTATGTTTGTGTGATTGGATAGCAGGCATAGAGGTCTAGTGCTGAAGTCATCAGACGCCATTTTGAACGTCCAACCTTTGCTCACACACCTGCGAAATGTCAGACTTAGTCAACTGTCACTTATGACCATTATAGGCTATTAAATGCGATTCATTTTTACGTATAAATTTCACCTAGAGGTTTTGAGGTAAAGATGTCCTACGTCTTTACCCCCACGATATGTTTATCTCTTATCTCCGTTCCAGCGCCTTGGGAAAATGCTCTAGCTCTGTTTGGAGACCGCGCCAGTGACTAGCATAGCCTTCAGTCATGGCACCCTGGATGCTCAGCAACACCACTGCACTACAGGGTGTCCCAGAAACAAAACAAACCCCGAGGAAAGGGGATAATATGCCCAAACCATGAGATATGATTATAATGTATAAGGATCTCCGAAAAGTAGAAGCAGTATCCTTTCTAATGATACCTTGAGGGTATCCCTCCTGTCATGCATGACTGAACACCATTGTCTTGAAAATGGGGCTTCTGAATCAGTTGTAACACTTTGGATAAACCAGTGAATGAGGTTGTCCTCTGTTGCTTGGCCTGGATAAGATATCAGGGGCACACCGATTATTTACACATTACGTAATTCAAAGTTAATTATGCACCGACACCTTCCGCGTGTCCAAGTCCATTCTTCCTGCAACTGGTTCCCCTTGGCTGTCTCGACAAGTTGCTGTCGAACTGCAGCAACATTTTCAGGAGTTCGTACTGTGCGCCTCCTTCCCGAATGACCCTTATTCAAATTAAGGCTTGTCTCGTGTTCTCGGTATTCGTATTTGCACACATTTTCCCAGATGGTCGACTTTGCAAGTATCAGGGAAGGCTTCCCTAAATGCAGCTTGGGTGGCTTGAAAGCTTTTGTTTTTAAGAAATTTCGTCACGACAAACACTCTTTGCTCTTTGGTAAGTTGCACCATGTTGCAGACTTGCTGTCCTTCTTCGAACACTTTTCAACACTGCACTGGCCTACTCGGAGCATGCTCGGAGCAAGTCAACACGTTTAAACCGGATTATTGCATAACTTGAAAGTGACAAAAGGCAATCTTCCCTCATTAACATGACCTTTTGTTGTCACTTTCAACCAGGACAAGCATGACAGAGGACAACCTCATTCACTGGTTTATCCAAAGTGTTACAACTGATTCAGATGCCCCATTTTCAAGANCCCCTTCCTCAGGGTTTCGTTTTCTCCTGGGACACCCTGTATAGCTCCCGCTGATGTAGAAAGTGGCTTTTCAGGGTAGTTCCGATTCGCAAGTGTTTATGAACAAGTCCACATCTTTGCATTTTTACTTTAGTTTGTTCTGTTGTACAAACTGTAAAAAAATACTTATAAATAAACAAAATAAACAAATTAAAATTTTAAAAGGTGGCCGCTAAAAAGGATGCAGCCGGGGACGCTAAACATGATTTCTTTATAACGCCGCCTTATATTGAATGGTTACAGATGGACTTTGTTTGTTTCATCAACACGTCGCGAGTTCTTGTTATAATAATACATTCCTGCCTATTTCTCTGACGGGGGTTAAAGTTTTCTCACGCAAAATCACTTTGCAAATGGAGCGCGGAGGGGGACTTGGATGACTTCTGAATGAGGGCGCTTTTTATACCGCCAATGAATATAACAGTTGAAGTGAAAATGTTTTCTATATATTTACAAGAAGAATCAAACAAAATTATACGAACTCAACTTCAGAATTTCTTGGTCTGTTGAAGTTTAAAGTGTATTCCTCTGATTCACTTACATTGACAAAAATATCATTGACTTTGGCAATAATTATGGATTGGACAATATTTCTAAGCAATCAAAAAGTTATCTTTAACCAAACATCAACACACTGAAAGCCATGTCCCGTTTACTGTGAAAGCAATACGGACAACACTGATTTGTATGTGTTCCTTCTCTGTTTCCCCTTTTATTTTTCGAATTTTTCTGAGGTGGGACAATTCCATCGGCGTAAATCCTAGGGGTCGAATGTATCACCCCCTCCCACTTTGCAAGGGGGGGGCAGGGCTTTTGAATTAAATGGGATTGTCAGGACTTTTTTCGGACTTCATAACGACTAAAACTATCACTCCAAAAAGGAAAACCATAAAGACCATATACCATTCTGATGTATGCTTCTGATGTATGCTTCTCCATGAATGTATTACATAATTACAGATGTACATTTGTATCATGAACACTGCCCCCTACAGAATGTCATATGGTGTCAGCTCCAACCACCGATTCCCATCCCTCCCTCCCCCCCCCCATTTCCTGCACAAATTTATGCCACTGGACAATTTCCCCTCCCTGGTATTTTTGGATCCTTCTAAATACACAATATAGCACGTATTTTGACAGTTCATACATAACAGGTGAAATACTTAACATTAAGAAAGACTAGAATCTGCAAGTTGCATAAGCGAGATTCCTCGGTATGCAAACCTGTTTACATTAATACCCAAGACGAGTCAATTACATAGCACCAACTTAAGTTTTTGGTATAACATTTACGGACGAGATATGAAAAGGCAAAAACCCTTTGTTTTATGTTGTGTAGTTACGGGGATTTTTTTTTCAGTTGGGCCATGGGGCGAAAGCATCCAATGAACGACTTTATTTCTGTTTCCATGCAGACGACACAGCCTTGCATGGCTATTCCACTGACCGTAATAGGTTATTCAGTGCCTTGCGACAAATGGAATTTCTAGGCGCGCGCCTCAAATAATTGTTTGCGTGACGTATTCAATTTATACTCTTTAGTCCTACCCCATCTCCTCTCTTGCATCGCCACCTTTGTTTAGAGTTATCTTCCGATAAAAACAACCTAGATATTATCGGCTGGGGATTTGTCAAAGCCCTGGAGAAGTATTTACCAAATATCAGTCAGATTCCTATTTTTCTTGAAAAAAATTCCACAAATGATGAAACTTCAATTGGAGTAAGTTTGATGCATGTGGCTTCTTGGTGAACGCGGTTCGAATCCTGCTCAGGCCGATGTGTGGGTTGAATTATCAGACCCTGTACCCTAATCTTTCCTGGTTCCCAAGAATATTGATCTAGGGTATTCCCAGCATGTTTGAACTTAAGAGCTACTTTGATGGCAACGGTGCCTTCGAGGAACATTTGGTTTCAAGGACGAGGATAACACTATTGAGCTTTAAGTTAAAATTTGTTAAGTAAGGATTCAAATTCTGGGAACAATTATTTAAGTCGCATTCCATAGTCACGTTTTTGTTCGTCCTTACGCATGTATTATCATTTCATATCGCTAGTTTCAGCTACATGGTCAATGTGATGTTCAAAAGGTGTTGCAAGAACTATAACGAAATCAATGTATATTCTAAATATTCTAATATTCTAAATATCAACGTGTTGTAATTTGGTTATAAAATCAGTACATGCAATTTTTTCAGTGTGAATCGTATTGCAAATTCAAGCTTTTGCCACTTTACTTTTGACCCGTAAAGAGAAGCGGAACTCGAAACGAATTTTGAAAAATACGCGGCAATAGATCCTTTGCAGAACATATACATACTTTACCCATTATTCTAACTGAAAGAACTTGAAATGTCAGAGGTCACACAAAAAGCCTTTTGCGAGTTAACTCTGACTACACTCTGGTACACTGAGTTCTTTAACTGCCAGTGAACATAACAATTTGAATTCTGTATACTACAGACACAGTTGCTTTTATACCCAGGAAGATATGGGACAGAGGGTACCCCCCCCCACACACACACACACACCCATCCCTATACACACTCTAGACTGTTGTTACCTAACATATCCCCCTAGATTTATGAAAAGAATTCCTGAGCTTCAGACCAAACAATTACCGACACAAAGGTTGAGGCGCTCTCCGTCCCGTATTTTGCTTCATTGTGGTTGCTATACTTCGTAATTTGGGGCAAGCTTTTGCTTAGTTAAATAAGAGACGCCTTGCTTCAATACACTGTTTTCCATGGACAAAAAGGGCACAATGGAACTAATCAGCTCTGGAGATGGCGCTTGCCCTGAATCATGAGGTATTGCAGTTTTGTAGTTTAGTTTTTTAGAATTCAAATTATGTTTATGTGCAATCAGATAACTAATTGTACCAGACTTTATTCAAATTTAACTCGCAAAGACTTATTCGTAAACAAGGACAGCTTAAAAAATATTGAAATAAAAAGCAGCTTGCCGGCCTGAGTTTAATCCAATTAATAAAAGTTGTCCTTTTCCTTTTAATCAGGAGCTTCAAAAGTTGGAAAAAGCATGGCTATTTTTCAATAATAAATGAAGATTTGTTATCACCAATAGCAATCAGCGTTTGGTCACATTTAGATTCCTTCGAAATTCCAACTTGACGCCAAAAAAATATCTTTCTCCCCATGCACTACCGGTACATAATTAATGATGTACATGTATAGTATATTTTATGTTGGTAACAAAGCAATATGCACAGGCATGTTTGAAGTACTTCATCACTGAATAAGAGACACAAAAATATTAATTTGCTGGTCACAGTTAACCAATCAGGTCTCCTCCTCCACTAGATCTCTGCGTATTAAGGTCACTTTTTGTCCAATCACCGCCATTCCTGCAAAAATAGGGAGAAAAGATTATGAGTATTGCGATGGATCAGAAATTACATGGAAGAAAGGTGTCAAAAGTTTAAAATCCTCATTGCTGTTTAAATCGGTCATCTCGGTATATGCAACATTCGACCCTGACGAAAAATTCTTTATGACTTGTACAACCTTCAGCTTTAAAATATATTTGCTCGTCGCCCAGCGCCCGAAGAGGGCGCTGGTCAGGGCTGATGGCTTTGCTCTGTGATTGGTTACTCTGTGCACGATCTCTGGTTATCACTTCCTGTCAGCGAAGCGTTATTTTAAATTTTGATTGGCCAATGGCAGTGCTTTGGCATAGGTGTAATTTTCGGCTTTTATGATGAAAACATGGCCTTGGAACAATCACTGTAATTTATTTTCTCACTAAGGATCACTGATCACGTGTCTTTTGGTGACAAATTATAGGTATCTTGTTGAATTTTGCATGAACTAATAAAGGATAGTGTGCGGTGGCTGATCTCCGTCAGGAATACACTTTTTTATTGTACGGCGTTTATAACGACCTGTTACGGCGTTTATAACACCCTAATTTATAGCGTAGTAACACCCTGTTTTAAGGCGTAGTAACGCCCTATAACGGCATTGTAACGCCCTATTAGGGCATTATAACGCCCTATGGGGCATAATAACGTCCTAAATTAGGGCGTAATATCGCCCTAATCTCAGGCGTAATAAACCATCTTTTACGGCGTAATAACCCCTATAAAGGCGCTATAACGCCTTAATTTACGGCGTTATAACGCCCTAATAGACCTACAAGGATGGCCGCAGACACTACAAATACTATGCGCATAAGCGGAGCCACGTGTGTTATTGCATGGACGCCGTAGAGCGTTATTACGTCCTAATAGGGCGTTATTACGCCTTAAATAGGGCGTCATTACGTCATAAATTACGCCGTAAAATAAAAAAGTGGATTCCTGGCGGAGGTCAGCCACCGTAATAGTGAAGAGATCAGCAATGAGAGAAAAAAGAAAAATATAGAATTCATTACCGCCACATTGAGCGAGCTCGCGCGCCTTGCAGAAATTTACCGACAATGCTCTGCGCGTCGTTACCTGTGACCCTGCGTGATGTATTTCCTTCACTAAAATTTGTGCAAGGCCATCAGCCCCTCGCAGAGACGAGCAAATAAAATATATCCCTTCGGTGACGGAGTAAAGTAGAAATTTTAAAGTTTTTTCTTTAAAGGTTGGATCACGTACGCTTTTTATGATTCCAGTAACGACACTTATGTTGTCATAGTTACGTTTTGAAAAGAAGTTTCCATAGACTTACCATACGTTTGCTGAAGCGAATTCTGCGCAGGGCGTTGAGTGGGTGGGACTGCCCTCTAGCGTCTACAACTGCCGATTCTTGGGACTGTCCTGGTTCTGCCTCAAACGATCGTTTTTTAGCTCCTGTGTGAAACAAAACACGCCAAAAGTTGTCACTCATAAATGGAAAATCAACATTGAATTCCTCATGCCAGATCAAATGTATCGAAAGAAGGCCTCTTTGACAAGAAGCCCGATTACGAGAGGGATTGCTAAGACAGACGCGCATGCCTGGTCCAAGTGTGTAGTAGGTTGACTGGCACACGAACTGGATTAGCCCGATTCGGTTCAGTGAAGTTCCCTGCAGCAATTTCTGACACTATAGGCCGTCAGCTGAGACTAAGAAACAGGATGTAAAAATGAGTTCCGTTCCAGCGACACTGGGATTACCTTTTGAATGCATAAACGTGAGGTTCTGTACATCCCAAACATTATGTCAAAAGTTCTCCCAAAAATTTCTGCAATTTTTTAGGAATTCCGTCTCAAAGTTTGCCATAGTCTTGTATGCTAAAATGCACAACATACGCTTCCAAGGCTTTGTTTGGGCACTTCCAACCTCAAAATTAGAAATCTGCGATTATGTCAAACCTTCAATATTATACATTTTGATTTGTATTGTGAATATATATCACAAATTCAGATAGGACAACACGTGATTTTTGTCAGGTGACACCACAGAAAGACTTTATTATATTTTTTTTCAAAGATTTTTGATCTGGTAGATACCACCATTGTTCTTCTGGTCTCAAAATATTTCACAATCTGGCTCATTAAAAATAAGAATAAAAAATAAAATGCAAAAGGACAGTCAATTTGTTTTGTTCAGTACAGATACCAGGGGGCTGGGATGTCCAAAATGGAGATGAAAATGTAACAAATTGCTGACAGCAGGGGAATACGGAACTCAATGTACTCATAATGTAATTATGTTTCCGAGCCCCCCCCCCCAACCAATTACTTTGAGCTAAAAATGGCTCCCAATTCCAAATCAAATGACTGTAATTCAGACTTTGATGTGATTATCTGAACCTGGGCCATATGATTATGAAAAAGGCATTTAGAGAAATGTCCCCAAAAGGTTAATCTCACTGGTTAGTTAAACTGATCATCAAAGGAGCATATTTAATTTAGATGTACATGCAAAGTTGTTTGTATACATGTAGATAAAATGCCATAATGCAAAGGTAAAAGAAACAACTCTAAATGAACAAGACAGCTACGAAATCCAGATGCTTTGTGCTTCCTTGAAAAGACAACACTGAAGAGGACTGCAAATTGGAACCCTGGATCATTGTCTCATTACTCTCCATCAAAATTATCAAGTACAGAGCCATCCTGTCCTATAACAGTGTACGAAGAGGTAGGAGCATCTGTATCAGTTTTCAAATCAAACGTGTTTGATGATAAATATCCTCCCCATTGTCCAGAGATTCGGCCACACTTCTTGATGACAATGTGGAGGAGTTGGCAACCTCACACTTGTTTCTCCAGAAAGGTTTGTGGGAGCAGAGCTCAGGATAATCACTTTTGAGCCACTACTTCAACTTGTCACTGCATTAGAAGAAATAGTTAAAATTAGACGAGTTAATATTTGATGAGTTACTGTGGAATGACTGGAACAGAAGAAAGAATAAATTTGTGAGATAGATCATGCACATGATCCTTCAACAGCTCGTTATCTTCCATTATTGATGTACATGAATCAATATTGTTAGCTTGAGAGTACACATCACATACTGCCCATGCAATACCTTCTCTTTCTAATGCAATGTCATTGGTTGTTGATTTGAATATTTTATAAAGTCAGAGTCGATTTTGTAAGTGCTGGGGCAATTTGAATAACTGTCAACCTATCATACCAGTGCAAATGAAGGTTAGTTCTGTCGTGCTTCTTGATCACAGTCACGAACAGTTGGCAAACTTTGACATACGATTTCCTGGCCATCAATCACTATCTCTGTTGAACATCTTGTAGGCCTCTTGGTGCTCCATCTGAAGTTCACTCCTTAAATTCAATCAGACAGTAAACAACGATTTTTATACAGGTCACTTCATCCAAACAGAATTTCCCATCACACCCCCTTGAGCCCATTTTGAGAAAATGGAAGAGAAAAATAGGAAGGAGTGTCTTTTGGCCTTACTGTAGCAATTATGCTTGTACAATGCAATAAGTCAGAAAGGTGATTAGATTGCAGGCACTGTGCACAATGCCCTTCAAAAAAGGTGACACTAACTACAAGTGCAATAAATGTTGCAGGTATGTACTTCAACTTGCCAGTATTAAAAGGGCTGGATAGAATTGATATGAGCCAACAATTACCAAAAAATGTCTGACTGTGTTGACATGCAAATGAGGACACCGCAGCACAGTGGGATCTGGAACAAGTGCTAGTTTCCAATCATCACAAGTAGCGGTTTTAATCAGAGTTTTGAATGAAATATAAAAAATCATTTCCTTCATTACTGTCAGCATTATTCACCATGATTACGAGCACGACCTTAATTTTAAAAGGAGCCTAAGATAATGATAATGA